TCCATTTCTGCGACTACGTTGTTCGTTTCTGTGAGTGTCTTTTGTTGTCTGTTTTTGCTAATACGTTGTACGTTTCTGTGAAAGTCTAACGTTTTCTTTTACATAGTGTACGTTGTAGGTTTCTGCGAGGAGGTTGTTAATTTCTGCGAGTAAGTTGTTCGTTTCTGCGAGTAGGTTGTTCATTTCTGCGAGTAGGTTGTTCGTTTCTGCGAGCAGGTTGTACGTTTTTGCGAGTAGGTTGTTCGTTTGTAACTGTATTTTTGGCGGCGATTGCCTTCCATATGTAAATTAGGAGTGTTTTTGTCAGGAACTAGATGGCTGGAAATCACTCTCAGACTAATGCCAGGCTCCATAGGAGGAAATTTCTTTGTTTTTATATATGTTGTAGAACTAATTTTTTTTCTAAGACACAAAAAAGCATATTCGACAAAAAAAAATCGAAAGCAGTTAGTGAGATACAGATTTTTTAATATTTAAAAACTGTAAGGAAAAGGTCCGTACCTCCCTCTTTCCCCCATTTTTAAATAATCAAAAATCTGTATGTTATCACGCAGCCGCTTGTTTGTCAAATATGCTTTTCGTGTCTTAGAAAAATCAGTTCTACAACACTACAAAAATAATTTTCCTCTAGAGTATAGCTCTAAATTTGAATATAATTTTCTTTTTTTCTCCTTTTCTTATAATAATAATAATAATAATAATAATAATAATAATAATAATAATATTTATATTAATAACAATAACAATAACAATAACAATAACAATAATAATAATAATAATAATAATAATAATAATAATAATAATAATAATAATAAATCATCATTATCATCATCATCATCAACCCACTAAATGAAAGGGGGTCCGGGAAGATTTTGATTCCTAGATGGCGGGAAATGAGTTTTCCTGACTTCTGTGGTGTCTTAATAACTTTCAAGTTTTTCAAAACTCAACGTTTTCCCCTCTTGAAAACAGTCAGGTAAATTTTCTCATTCTTATTACAGTAAATAAGCATAGGATGTCAAAATTTCAAAACAAATCTGTATCTTGGCTAATTGACAACAATGTGACTGTTTGACATACACTGTGCAGTATCATCCTTGTGTCAGCTTCCTCATGACTGCAAAATAGATTTGGCAGGTAGCACCTCTACTGCAACGCCGTTGTTTTGAATAACATGACATTCATTGCTATGCGCCACGAAAACATGGACATCAGAAAGAATCTCCCTTTCACACATTCTCCATCTTACAAAAAAGAATTCGACAAGTCATCGTAATCATCATCATCATCATCATCATCATCATCATCATCATCATCATCATCATCGTTGTTAACAACATTAATCTTTAATATTGTTACTATATACATGTAATATAATATATTTATATGTATTATATTATTATTGTATAGACCGAATATTTGTTAAGCACAGATACCATTTTTTGCATAAAATTACATCTATTACCACCCTTTTTATTATTAATATAATAATAATTATTATTATTGTAATATCTGTATATTATTATCATTGCTATTACCGTATTATTATTATTATAAATATTATTATCATTAATATTATTATCATTAGTCTTAGTACTGTATTATATTTATAATTATACTATAATGTATTACAATGTTGCTATTATTGTTATTATTAAGCAAGAATCTTCAAGTTAAGAAATATGATAAAAATCTTGACTAAGTAATAATGAATCTCTTCATGAAATATTTATAGTGAGTACATTTTACATTGTACGTTCTAGCTAGCCTAGAATGACAAGTATAGCCAGGCCTAAAAAAATAAGAGCCAGGGCCTGAGTAGTAGGCAGGCCCCTGCTTTGAACTTAGTAAGTAGGCAATGCTTTAAAAAACTGCACTACTGATCCTGATGGCAGTAGTAGCGTTCCATAGGGCGAACAGCGCGTGTGCTCGTGTGAATCAAGGCGTGACGGACGCCGACTCATGGATGAGGCCATGCATGATGAACCACAGCCACGTATCTAATGCAGCTGCAGAGTATCGCACAGCAGGCTGGAACGTACGACGTGGGCTCAGCGGTGCACGGCAGCAGCACTCTAGCTAGGATAGGATTTGGTTTAGGCTAGGCTGAGTCCTTTATTGTTCATCAGCATGATCGAAGGGTACGATCCAGTTTACCAATCTCTGCTTGGTACCTTGTTTACTTGGGGTTTAACTGCGGCAGGTTCTGCATTGGTGTTTGTGTTTGCTAGTGGAAAGGTAGGCCTACTTTTTTTTTTTTTTATGAGAGAAGGAATTATTTGGGTAGGCTTAGGTTAGTACTAGTAGGCTAGTCCCTAGGCATAGGCCTTGGCCTGCCTTAGCTAGAGGGGGGGGGGGGGGGGGGGGGGGGGCTGCCTAGCTAGCCTAGGCCCCTAGCTAGGGCCCTAGGCCTACTAAAGCCGAATCCCTAGGCCCACTTCCCTAGAATAGAAGCATTGGCTAGACCTTAGGTTAGTAAAGCAGGTTTTCCACTAGGCGAATTTATTCGCGCGAATCGAAAGCGTCGTTCATGACCATTCACATTTTTATTATTGGAGTTCTTCGCTTTAACGAAATTGGTAGTTTAAACTGTTTACAGGGATTTCTGGTCAAAACTGCGATAAGTCAAAACAGCAATGACCAAAAAACCAAAACGGCAATAGGCATAAGTCAAAACGGCAATAAACCAAAATTATTAAATATGATAATAATAATAATAATAATAATGATAATACTGTATTAATAATAATATTAACAATTCAACATACAAATTCAATAATATAAAGATTGGAGAAACAAAAGCGGTAAACATTTAAATGTGTTAAACTATATAAATAAGGCTAAATAATTTATTTCATAAAAGTAAAAGTGCTAAAAAATAAACCAATTACTGTATGAACATGAAAGTGTACAAGGATTAAATACGGTAAAAATTAGGCTAAATTGTCATAGAAGTCCAATATCCAATTTCAAAATTTGAAATCCTGTTATTAAATAGTGCAGTTAATTATATAATAATTTATTATATTGGCAATTTAAAATAAATAATTCAATTGAATAAAGGTTTTATTTGTGTAGTTTCTGCATTCTTTGGTGTAATCAATTTTTTATTTATATATATATATATATTTTTGAGAATGGCAAATTCCTTTTTGGTAATAGTGGCTCTGCTGCTTCCTTTATCAAATACAGTAATTTGAAATAGGAAATTTTGGCTGGGCTCCTGGGGACTGACAGCAGCCACAGTGTAGCACCAGGACTGACATACTGTACTGTATAGTATAACAGATACATTGTCTCAATATCCCTCCTAACTCACATGCAAGGGTAATTCGAGCAACATAGACATACATACATAGACAACTTTCAAATTAAATGACTTATGTAGAAAAACAAATTTAAATTTCAGTTCACTTATATTTTCAGAGAAAAGTACTAGATGGAAGTTTGGGATTTGCAGCAGGGGTAAGCTTATCAATTTATCATATCCAGGTCTGTTAATGCAATTTAGTTTGAAGATTCAATTATATTAGTTGTAATAATGGTATATCAATACCATATATTTGAATCTGAACCTGATGCTTAACCTGCCATACCTTAACTTAAAGGGAACAAGTTTGACATTTTAATGCCTAAGTCAATAATATCAATGACACATTCCCAACTTATAACTGATAGTATAGAAGTTAAAATTTTGTCAGGTCATTTCATCAACATGAATATTGTTTAAATTTAGTTGAACGATCAAGGACCCGAGAGCCAGTCGAAATTGGTAAAAAGTTTTTATAAAACACACTGAATACATACTAGATAGCAGTAAACCTACAGTACCACAATTTACAATTTATATTTTTGTATAGCATAATGTAGCAGTAGGCCAAGCAGGCTACCACAAACTGCATTTAACCAAAATTTAACAAAGCATTTTTATTCCATAAAGGTTATGATTGCAGCTTCGTACTGGTCTTTACTTGCACCAGCTATAGAACTTGCCCAAAATTCTGGCACATACGGAAAGGAGGGAGAATGGGCATTTATACCTGCAGCAGTTGGATTTGCAATCGGAGCTGCGTTTGTGTATGCAGCTGACTTACTAATGCCATATATGGTAAATATTGTTGACTTACTAAAATGCCCTATTTGGTAAATATTGTTAGCTTGCTCATGAACTATTTTCTGCCATATACCACCTTGACACTTGCACGATTTTTGTCCCTGCAATGCCGTGTCAGCACGGTGGTATGCAGCAGAGCGTGAAGTCGTATTTGTGGCCTGTTCGCTCACTGTAGACGTATAAGTTACGCACTGTCCACGCAATACGTGGCCAAAAATGGGCCACATTAGCATGCATTGACACGCATTGGCACTACTTGTTTAGGCATAGGTTAAGTATTGTTTGTGTGTTGTTCACATCTACCCTACCGCATTGTCCCTCAGTGTCACGTACAACACGTGTCGTAGTTCCTAACTGTCTTTCTGCATCGCCACGCATTGTCTTTCTGCATCGTGCATGTGTGATTTTGTTGTGGCAATTTTTGGTCATGCTTTGTGCGGCTTGGCAGCACACTATGTATAGCGTAGGTTTCACACCTAGCTTTATTCCTCGACTTGCTGTGGATGATACAATATGCTGAATGCCAGAGAATCTGAGAAGGTGTCTATATCTGGCAGCTGCAGGGCTATTACTTCTTGAATAGCGGGAGAAAAGGCAGCAAGAGCAAGAAGAGTGTTTGCACTGAGTTCAGGCATGGTTCGCGCACATGGCACAAACATTGATGCATGCCGAATTTTTGAACATTTCCAAATTCTCTCTATGACATGGCACGCACCCACTATTCACACTCATTCCCGACAATGCCGAACCAAAATCATGCCCCATAGTATACAGTACAGTATTGTAAATCTTTTGTTGATTTGCTCATGCAATACAATGCATAGTTTACTTCCATTCAAGATTGGAGAGCAATGCCATTTTAAGTGATGAGAGATACTTACCATTTACTGTGGGGCTTGAGCAAGTCAACATTAGATTTAATATTGCTATGAGGTATGGCTTAACCTAATTTAATCATGATTCTGTTTATTGTGTTTTCCAGGGTGTGACTTCATCTAATTTAGCTGTTATATATAGTACTGAGCACAAAGATCATTCCAAGTCTGATGAAATTTATAATCAATATGATGAACAACATCCTTCTGTAGTTATAGGTAAAGTAGCTACTGTAAAGCCAGGCACTCACTGAGCCTGACGGTCGTCGGCTGATACGATTCTGTGGAGAACAACGCCACGATAATATGTGCACAATGGATCGTTATAAATGACGATCTGTTTAGACTTTCACTGACAATCAGTAGATGACGTAGCATTTTCTAACGCTTACAGGGAGTGGAGTTTTGAATCGTCGGCCGACGGCCGTATGACCATTGTGCTATGCAGTGAGTGCCCTTAATCTTGCAATTTAAAATACTCTGTGCTTATACCCTATAGTAAAGTGAAAAACAGGGCACCCATGACCATTTATACTCTGTGCTTATACCCTATAGTATAGTGAAAAACAGGGTACCCATGACCATTTATACTCTGTGCTTATACCCTATAGTATAGTGAAAAACAGGGCACCCATGACCATTTATACTCTGTGCTTATACCATATAGTATAGTGAAAAACAGGGCACCCATGACCATTTATACTCTGTGCTTATACCCTATAGTATAGTGAAAAACAGGGCACCCATGACCATTTATACTATGTGCTTATACCCTATAGTATAGTGAAAAACAGGGCACCCATGACCATTTATACTCTGTGCTTTCTTTCAATAAACAAACATCATTCCAGTCCAGGCCTTGACTATGATTATGTATTATTGATTTTTTAAAGCCATTGAACTCCATTTGAAAGTGGCAATACCTCACATTGCGCATGCTTAGCTGGCTCTATATGGACGAATTTACCAGTAAAAATATTTCAATTGGGATTATACCCTATAGTATAGTGAAAAACAGGGCACCCATGACCATTTATACTCTGTGCTTATACACTATAGTCAGTGTTCTCCCGAAGCTGTTTTAGCTGTCAATTTTACCAGTAAAAATAACTGACCAACCAGTAAAAATTGTGTGTTGGTAGAATAAAAAAGCACATTATTAGGCCTAGGTTGACTAGGCTGGCCTTCTTTCAATAAACGAACATCATTCCTTTCCAGGCCTAAGCTATGATTACATATTATTGTTTTTTGAAGCCATTTAAATCCACTTAAAATTGGCAATATCTGAAGTTGTGTGAGCTTAGCTGGCTCTATATGGACAAATTTACCAGTAAAAATATTTCAATTGGGAGAACACTGTATAGTATAGTGAAAAACAGGGCACCCATGATCATTTATACTCTGTGCTTATACCCTATAGTATAGTGAAAAACAGGGCACCCATGACCATTTATACTCTGTGCTTATACCATATAGTATAGTGAAAAACAGGGCACCCATGACCCTTTTTCGGGGACCAAGGTTTCTCTGCTGATTTGACATCACTAGGGTATAAATAATAAAAATGAGCGGGGTGAGACTTCAAACATGCCTTTTGGAGGCCATTTTTAAAATGGCAACCAAAATTAAGGTAATGGCTCATAACTTTACTTCTACTCAATGAAAAAGGGTAAATCTGGTGTCTAACTATATGTTATCAAGATCACTGAATTCCATTCAAAAACCTAGGATGGCAGCCATTTTGAAATTCAAGAGGGCTCCCATAAAAATTTTCAAAAATTCAAATATTTCAGTATAATTCCACATCTCTATGAAAAATGGCAAATTTAGGTCTAATCATGTTTTTAGGCTCTCTGAGTCCAAATAAAATTTTTTTAGCTCATTTTTTTAATTTATACCCTAGTGATGTCAACTCAGCAGAGAAACCTTGGTACCTGAAAAATGGTAACGGGGGCCCTGTTTTCCACTATACTACTAGTATATGTATGTGGATAGAATTCCTCAATTTGTTAATAGTTTTTTGTTTCTAATATTTCATAATACCTATTATTGTGTGTTATTTTGTGCAGTAACGTAGTAATTGCTACTATTTTATAATACTGGTGTACAATATAAAAATAATGAATGTTTATGAGTGCAATCGGAAGAATATTTTTATTTGTTGAAAGATTGACTGTTCCATTCTTCGAAGCAAAGCCGAGTTGAATGGAACAATCAATCTTTCAAGGAATGAAAATATTCTTTCCATTCCGCAAATAAGAAACATTCATTGTTTGATTTAAAGCACGTCTAAAATAGATTCTTGTCATTTGATATTTTATGAAAAAAATATCTACCTTTTTCTGAATGGAGATTTTTGTCATTTGATATTTAATGATAAAAATTCAACAGTCCAGTGTCAAAAGATTGTATTAGTTCGAAGTCATATTGTATCTTAGGCACCATGCAATAAAGTGAAACGGATGGAAGTAAAAATGCACGGTGGAACTAAATTTCTATGATGAGTGACGAAATAGGGTAAATAACCAATGTCACACAATAAGAAATGCGCCAATCAAATGACAAGGGGATCTTAATGAAATTTAATTAATAGAATAGATGTTAATTTGTTAATGTATAGGAATGTCTGAGAATGGGTCGTCATCATTGATGCAGAGGAGGAAGAAGGCTGTAAGTGATGGAACATTAGACGCATCAATAAAATCACCAACAGTTCAGCATCACTCTGTTCAGTGGAAAAGAATATTTCTTTTAATTTTAGCAATAACTATCCATAATATACCAGGTAACTGCAATCAAATTTGAATTAAGATTACAGTATATAGATTAGATTATTAGATTAGATTAGATTATTAGATTACATTATTAGATTAGTATGTACTGTAGATTAGATTATTAGATTAGATTAGATTAGGTTTAGGTTCTCAATCTTTTAGATATTTTTTGTTATTTTTTAAATTTAATGAACCTCTCATTACAATAAAATAGGTCAGTCAGTCTAAGGTTGTACCAATACAATACAATATACCTCTATATTTTCACCTTTATATAATTCTGACATTGTTATTAATTGTTTTTGTGTGTAGAGGGCCTTGCTGTTGGAGTTGGCTTTGGGGCCATTGGAAAAACACCATCAGCAACATTTGAAAGTGCAAGGTAAGTGAAGTGTATCTGAGTTGTGTGGTAATGTGTGCATTTGATGGCTGATGTTGGATTGGTATGGGGCATTTGATGGCTCATTTGTGTGTTCAGTAATAATAATAAATAATAATAGTAATAATTCTTAATTGTCCTAATTTAAATTGGAAACTTGGGCTGAGAATCCCAGCATTAATGTAGTGTGTGCATTTTTGATGGCTCTTGTGGGTTTTCAGCGGTGTTTGGTTGGAGTGGGTATACTGTATGATGACGCATAGTTTTAGTGGGTGCTGTGTGGGTACGTTATTATTAGGCTTAATATCTGTCATCTTGGTTTATCATACTCACTATCATATTTGAAATGTTCTGACCTAATGTAATGAATTGTATTTTTCATAGAAATCTAGCAATTGGAATTGGTATCCAAAATTTCCCAGAAGGCCTAGCTGTTAGTCTTCCTCTGAGAGCATCAGGATTTTCAGTTTGGAGAAGTTTCTGGTAAAAGATGTTCATTTCTCTCAGCATAAAGTGATACTATATCTTGTCTCTATGAAGTAATATTGTATTTTC